GCCCATTCTTGAACCTGTTCTTTTCCATGATTTCAGAGGGTGATGTTGGGAAGCTGAGAGAGACTCATGATGTACAGTAAACTCCGAGATTGGAGTTGACTCTCCTTTTTCAAGATCCATGGGATTAGCATCCACAATTTGCAGGCTAGCTTCTTCTAGGTCCCTCAGCTCTGTAGCATTACCAGTAGCTGAGACTACAGAAAGTGCTCCCATTGACCGAGCTGGTGATTCTTTAATCCCAATGCTGGGAATTATTTGATTATTAGCAGTGCCTTGGCTTGAAGAAGCTTTCTGGGATATATTGTTCTCTGAGGGAGATGGAGATTCTGGAGGTGGAGATGATCTAGAGCCTGAGAAACTGGAAGGAGTCCATTTAACACCATCAGGAGCTCTTAACCAATCACCATACTGTTCTTCCTGAAGAGAATTATTTCGGATATCATCCATTTTTATGCTACATGCTCTATCCAAGTGACCAATTTTCCCACAATAATGACAGAGATTGATGAGTTTCTCGTATTTAAAGCCAACGATCACTAACTGATTTCCCAGCCTCACTTTAGCCATACGAGGGATAGATTCTTCCACATTAAGAGTGACTAAGAGCTTTAGAATTTTACCACCATGACTCCCTGTAGTAGCAATAACCACATTCTTGATTTTGTGAAAAGCCTGGCCTATCTTGAGCCCCACTTCCGTACTGATCCAATTTAGAGGGATGTTTTGAACCTGTACCCAAATATTCAGCTCACGAAAACAAGGGTGCTTGCTGTTGATACTCGCCTCCTATTCTTTCAAAACAAGGTACTGGTTCTCGAAGCTCCAATTTGTGCCACTGGCCACCTTCTTCATGTCATCCCGGTTTTGGAAGATAAATTGAAAATAATTTGGGCAGAGTTCTTTCACTTCCATAGCTTGATTAAGCTTCCAGATCTGAGACATGGCTCGTTTTATACCAATCCAGCTTGCGGGCCTATCCCTAATTATTTTACCAAAGAGGCTTCGATTGCATTCATCATCACTGAGCTTAATATCATTTTGAGCTATATCAAAGATTTTTTCTTCGTTGACAGAGAGCTACCTTGTTTAGACGATCCGAAAGCTCCTGGTCGAAGTCCGCCATGACAACCCCAGAGATACTACAATCGATCGAAAGACAATAATGAAGGGGATTAGATACGAAATTGAGAACAGGATGAAATTGATGGGGAGAACATAGAATCAGAGAAGAAGAAAACGGAACAAATTTTCGCTCTCAAAGAGAGAATTAGGGCTCTCAAAGAGAGAATGTTTATTTACTTTTATATTATGACTTTTATATCCCATCAACTTAAATCAAACATGTTTATTTAATTTAAGTTTATAGTTTCAAATCCAACTCATTTTTTTTTTCTTAAGAATATTTTATTTTATTTTGCATTTCACTTTATTATCCAGATTAATTTTTTGAAATGAAATCAAATATATATATATATATATATATATATAAAGATTTACCATTTTTCAAAAATAGCATGTCAATTTTTGGTCAAAATCATTTTGCATTAATTAAATTCCATTCTTAGTAACTTTTTTTTATATAAATAAAAAAGCAGCATTAAATGCTACCCATTAATTAAGGATATTGTTATTTTGGTTTCCAACAAAACCATGAATGTTGTCTATTATTTGGGACTGATGTTGTTTTATTTTTAAAATCATATTTAATAAAGGAAATAACTATATATTACCCTAAATTGCTGGATAATTAAATTGTCTTGTTTTGCGTCTTTACTTGCTTAATAAATTAATTAGTACTGATTTAATACTCAACTGGTCAAATATTTTTTTTATTTCAAATTAAGAAATAAATATGTATAACCGATAAAAAAAAGAAATAAATATGTATACATAATATATTAATTATTTTACAAGCTAGCCCTAATATACAAGTGAAAAATATATGATAACCCTATTGATTTTTTAGACTTAAACGAACAGAGTTGTCTGAAAATAATTCATTTAATATCTATGTCCCGTGCATTGCACGGGGTACGTACTAGTAGTCAATCCCACAAAATCCGATATATCTTCATTTTTTCAAGAAAAAAAATCCTTTGGTTGTTTCCACATTTCTTTCTTTAATAATAATAATAATAATAATAATAATAATAATAATATAGATAGATTCACATGATTCACTTATAAAAAAATACCTATCTTTCCACCTTTACCAACAGTCCTTTCCATAAACTAGATTCATAACAACGAATCTATTAACACAATTAGTTAATACCAATATCAAATACAAATATATTGATTATAAAATGTCGAAGGTGGTCCGAACTTTCTCTAAATTATTATTAATTTAACGATAAAGCCACCCGTAAATGTAGGAACAAAAAAATGGAGTTATAAGTCATAACCACATTTTTTCAACCCGGATAGGCCCGACGGGTCGATCCGGAACTCGATCTACCCACAGCCGGAATCGGTTCGGGTGGGCTATTCAGACAGGGCAACAAAGGACCGGTCAAACCCGCTCAAAACCCGGTCTTGACCCGGCCGACCCGGGACATTAACTCAACTGAGTCAACCCAGTTGGCCCAGCCCATTTATATATATATATATATATATATATTTTTTTTTTTTTATTTTT